GATTGGGGGCTAGCCTCCCAGGGCAGGAGCTCAGGGGCCAGGCAGGAGGGTTCCGTGGGCCGGATGTGGCCTGTGGGCCGTAGTTTGCCCACCTCTGCCTTAGACAGTCTGTGGACCCTCAGGTTGAAAACCACTAGTGTACACTAATGAGCAACTACTTGCATGCCTAGTTGCTGTTTAGTAGTAGATATTTAATTGGAAACAGTTGGTATCAACATCTGACACAAGAGTCATTTTTGTTCTAGGCTTTACCTGCTGTGTAATCTGTTGATAATGGGCAATTGAAAAGTTGCTCATTTTATTGTGTCCTACTTTCACTTTTTAAAAAATGAAATAATTTTGGTGAAAAATGACAGATTGGATAATCTAATCCATCTCTAAATTCTATGACTCAATCCCCAGGCCACTGCAGAAATATTCCCTATAGTACACAGTTCTCTTAAGTTCTGCCCACAGGACAGGAATGGTACAAGCAGTGGCAGTGCAAGTTCACCTATATGTCCCCTCTTACTGTGCTTCAGCTTTGTTCTGGGGAGTTAGTTCAACTGCTAGGCTCATTTAGTTCTTGGCCCTTCTCCAGCTGTCAACTAGGATTGATTGGATTGAAATAATCAAACTTCATGCAGGCCACAGAACAATTGTCAGATGCCAATGACTCAGTCACTACCACCTTTGCCCTAGAGGAAGACTACTTCCTATTATTACCAATGCTGTAAACCAAACTACTGCCACTTGAGATCCCTTTTGTCTTTCCTATGCAATCACCAAAACTTCACAGTTTAACTGTATTTATACCTCCCTACTGTATTTCCCACTCCATGCATCTGATGAAGTGGGTTTTAGCCCACGAAAGCTTATGCCCAAATAAATTTGTTACTCTCTAACGTGCCCCAAGGACTCCTTGTTGTTTTTGCTGATACAGACTAACCTATATATCACTCTGAAACAGTTTAATTTGTCACTGCTCGGTGTAGCTGCTTATGCCACAGAACTCCCTCCTGACGTACAGGACCTATGTTTTATATTCCAGGGATTTATAATTCACCCACCAGTACTCTCCTCTTCTCTGATGCAACAGTATTTGCTTGTGCTATTAAATGCAGAAAGTGTCAGCTGGGCTCTGAGGTAAATCACTAAGCTAACAACCAAGATAGTATGCCTAAATAAACAGTCATTGGTTAATGTAAAGGTTGCTCTCATTCTTAAACTTCAATTATTTGTTTTCCGTCTCCTCCCAGTGCTGTTTGCTGGGTGGAGTATGAATGTGGGAGATCCTGGGGCATAATTGCTCATAAGGATCTCTGACAGGAAGAAAGGTAATTTATTGGTTTATTACTGCAAACACATTTCTGTTCATGCCTTAAGCCATTTTGCATTTGGGTGACAGTGAAAATTTAGGTTCATGACATCAATTATAAAATACCACCCATGGGTGTGTGCATGAGAGAAAGGAAGAGAAAGGCAGGGATCTTTAAGTCTAGATCAGGGTGGCCAACCTGAGCCTGAGAAGGAGCTAGAATTTACCAATGTACATTGCCAAAGAGCCACAGTAATATGTCAGTAGCCCCCGCATCAGCTCCCTTGCCCTGCTCCCAGCATCCCCTGCCCACCAGCAGCCCCGCTGATCAGCACCTCCCGCTCCCTCCCCCCACCAGCTGTTTTGTGGCATGCAGGAGGCTCTGGGGAGAGGGGGAGGAACAAGGGCATGGCAGACTCAGGGGAGGGGGCAAGAAGGGGTGGAGTAGGGACAGGGCCTGCAGCAGAGCCAGGGGTTGAGCACCCCCCCTGCCCATTGGAAAGTTGGTGCCTGTAGCTCCAGCCCCGGAATCGGTGCCTATACAAGGAGCCACACGTGGCTCTAGAGCCACAGGTTGGCCACCCCTGGTCTAGATGTAAGTTTAGCAGAAGTAACAGCTACTGCTGCAAGACAGGAGTTAGTTAGTATACAAGGTGGGGGGTAATTGAAGTGCTATGAGACAGTATTTCTACATTTTATATTTATAGGGCAGTAGCACCCAGAAACCCATCAGGCTCAGGCCACATTGTGTTTGGTACTGTACAAATGCAAAGACAATCACTGACCTGACCAGTTTGCAACTGAAGATGAGTGACACATGAAAGGTGTCAGGGGAGGGATACAATAAAATGGCTGCAGGTTATATATACACACACAAATACATGATTAAAAAAAAAAACAATCAACATGCTTAATGCTCTCAACCTAGCAAACATTAATTGTCTAATTTCTTATAGGCCTCACAGCAGAGGGTGGGCTGTGGAGGAGGGAAAGTGTGTGTGTGTGTGGGGGGGGAGAAGGGCAGAAGGCTTATGGATCAGTTCAGAGAGGCTGTTTTGTGTGGAAGAAAGCCTCACACCATTTGTATGAGAAGCTGACAAATGGACAGACGAGGTTGGCATCTCTAATGGCTGGGGTTAAGCAGGAGTAGTACACTTGGGGGGGGGGGGAATTCCACCCACAATATTTTAAAATTCTGCATATTTTATTTGTCAAAACAACAATATAATCATGCCAGTTTTAATTATGTTGGTAATTTATTCTAAAATACCTGTCAGCAAGTAATACCTGTAACAATGCGGACAACAAAAAATGTTCAGGACGTGTTTTTTGACAAATAGATTCCTTACTAGATATATTAATACAGAACTTTGAGTAATAATTCATTTAAATTACAATACAGAAACTTATTTCCCACAGCCCTCAGAAACAAGGCAAAGGCTTGCCAGAGTCAGAGATAATGGAGGAGCTGGGGGAGAGGGAAGTAATTGCTGGGAGAGAACCTGGAGGGTTGTTGGGGAGAAGTATGGAACAGATTTTTTGGGGGGGATTGTTAGGGAGTTGGGGAGCCTCCCCCATGCAGACCCTGGCTGACCCCTAGCCTCTCCCATTCAGTCAGGAACATTCATCCAGTCCATGTCTTTCCTTGCATCCCCTCCCCCTGTCCTCATGTGTCCCTGCATCCCCTCCCATTCAGCCCCCAGGCTCAATGCTGTTGCCCCATTAGCTCCCATGCCACCGCCCCAGTCTGTCCCCCCTCCCAAAGCCTTGCTGAACCCCAGTCTACATGACCCCCCTCAGCAGCCCCACATGCCTCACTCTGTCCATCTCCCCCTCACCTGGCCCCACAAACACCGTACTATGAGAAAAAGCAGCTTATGCTCTTTCCTTCTCTGTGGCTGGCCACCCTCTTTTTGCACCACAGCAGCCTCTGGTGGGCAAAAAGTGTAATTGCAGCACCTCTCCAGCAAAATAATATAAAAAAAAAATCTGCAGGGGGATATGAATTCTGCACAAGTGCAGTGGTGCATATTTTCCCCAGGAATTAAACAGGCACAGTGACAAAGGGCCTTGTAGGCAAAGTCAAATACTATTAATAATTTTGCATATAGACCTCATTAGAAATGGAATCTCTGCTCTGCAGCAAACTTTGGCATCTCAAAACTTGACATTCCACAGCTGAATGAAAAGCCTAGATTTCCCACAAAATGAAATTTTTGAAAAATATTTTCTTTTGGAAATCTTGAAACTATCTTTTTGAATTGCTTTGACTGTTATAATTTATAAAAATTATAAAAAAGTTGAAACAATGTTCCCATAACTTCCCCTTAAATGTTATTAAATCAATACATTTCCATAGAAAAATCTTATTTAGCCAAATGAGCATTTTTCCACTGGAAGACTGTTTCATCAGAAACTTTTTGACCAGGTCCAGTTGTATGCCGGTAGACTAACTCACTGGCCCAGGAACAATCAATGCCACACACTAGAGTTGGTTTTAGGCCATTGTCTCAAAGCACAATTTATTGGTTAAACAGAAAACTTAAAGTAAAGTAGCTCCTCTGCCCAGCATAGGCCACAATTCACAAAGGCTTTGTCCTCACCTTTCTCAGCCCCTCTGGGTCCTTGACCTGACCACAAGAATCTGCCTGGTTCCTGTAGTGCTCACTTCTAACACATTTGCCTAAGAGTCATCTCATAGTCAAGTACTTTCCTCTATTCCACCTTCTACTACACATCCTCCTTATAATTCTTCAGCCCAACTGACCACTTGCTGGCCTTTATAAGGGCCGCATGCTCTTCAGTCTATCACTTGACCTCTAGCTCCACAGCCTCAGTTGGGACAGAGCTGATCAGACACAGGTGGGGCTGGCCCATCTCCTCTTAAAGGGGCCAGTCCCCATGTGAAATGTAATTTCACATCACTTGAATGTTTAAAAATTTATAGCAAATCTGGGACTTAGGGGTTCATCCTACAAAGTACTGAGCACCCTGGTGGCCCTGACCCAGCACAGCATTTAAGCATGTGCTTAGTTTTAAGCATGTGAATAATCCCAGTGTGACCTGTGCTGGTCCCTGGCAGGTTAGAAGCCAGGGCAACCAATCAGAGCAAGGGAGTGAGGCTACATAAACAGGTTCAGCCCAGCCTTTCACAGCAGTATAGTTGTGACAACTGGAAGGAGATTGCAAGTGTTTCATGGAAGCACAGAAAAATCTTGTGTGTTGTAAGATGGCTTTAGGCTAACTGCGGAATGAGACACACACAGAGCTGGGGAAGACCTCCAGCCTGCCTGCTTCCTAGCTGTGTGTATTCTCACTGCACTCACTGTTTTGATTTTTGCTTCTCAAGCGCGGGCGGGGCTTTCCCCAGGCTGTATTCTTGTCGCTATTGCATTGGCTAAAGCAACTGTCAGTCCCACAGCTTTGCTGGCCCAGCAGCGCAGCTGGGAGGGTGGGGGCACGTTCTATTGGTCAAAGGAAAGCAAAGCAATAGGCCACGGTGGGGCGTGGGAGGGGCTCCCCATTGGGTGAAGCAGGCCAGGGAACCCCCGCCCACATTCCACAGCTGGAGAGGTGTGGGAAATAGTGCAGTCTGGAGGCTAGTTCCTTAATTCTGATTGGGCAGAGTCTTTGAAACTAGCCAGCTTCCCTTCAGTGATTGGCAGTTTTTATGGAGGGGGAGCCAGCATCTGAAGGGGTGGGGAGGGAAGGCTGCTGGTGTCAGTTTGAGTCTGGACTCTGAGCAGCTGTGGGGAGGGTCTCCAGCTGATAGAGGAAACTCGCTACCTATTAAACCCAAACACAGACACATTCTAATGCAGATCAGCTGTGTGCAAACAATACGGGAATTGCAGCACTGAGCACTGGAGAGAGGAGAGTAGGGTTTGTTCTGGAAATTTGTCTCAACTTAAATTGAGATATCTATATCATATAGATCTAGATTTGAGGGAGTATTAAGTACAAAGAGTGAGCAAAAGGAGATCTTTGGTCATATGGAATAAGGCTTCTCTGTGTGAGCAGAGTGCCCATAGTGAAGTGTGCCCAAATACACATACCCTATCTCCCTTGGCTTTATTGTGGTTCTAACTGACCATGGAGGTGTTGGAAAATGGGGAGCAGAACCTGTTGCACTGGGATCGAAAGCTGAGTGAGCTGTCAGAACTGGTGGACTCCGATTCCCTGCTAAACAATACGGTGAGAAACAGCAGTGCTGGGCTGTTTGTGTGTCTTCTGTACGGACACTAATGTGTGTTCGTCTTGTCACAGGGGGAGGGTGTGCAATAATTTCAATGGGGGAGGGGGGAAAGCCCCTTTCTTTGGGGTGGAATAGCAGGAGTTGGGCTAGCACCCATCTGCCTGGAAGTTAGGCTGGTCTGTTATCAAGAGTTCTTGTGAATACTCGGTGTAGGAGGCGTTCAGAAATCTTCCTTGTGAGATTATGAATGTGTGTGAAAAGTATGAGTAATACCATTTTCCTTCCCTTTAAGCCTTGCTTTCTTTGTCATTCCAGCTGGGTGGCTGGAGAAACCCAGGATAGAGTTGGGCCCCATTTGGATTATGAGGGGAAGCCCTAAAACTGCTTTACAGTTAATAATGATTGGGGTGGGGGAGGAAGAGAGCTGGTGTTTGGAATTTTAATTGGGGTGGTAACTAGGGAAAACAGATGCTGAAATGCATTTTCATTTCTTCACGTCCTTCCAAACGAGAGTGACTGTGAGCATACAGGGAGAACCTTTACAGTGCATTAAGGTGCTGTTGGATCCTAAGCCATTTTAAAAATGACTGAAATTTCATATTTTATTAAAACAGTAGTAGCAGAGATGGGTGTGTAACTTTGTGGTTTGGATTCTACTCCGCCCCCTCCCCCCCATGCCAATTAAGAGGTTCGTAAAGGTTTAACTTAAAGCATCAGTAAGAAAATAACAGACTTCAGGACTTTACCATAATGGGTTTATTCTGCAATTGGGTGAAATCCAAGACTTTGAAATTCTGAGGAACTGGTTCCTGCATTTCTGCAGCCCACCATTATCATTAGAGGTTATGCTTGAAACGGAGTTGGAACCCTCCTATCTCCTGAAAGATTTTTGTGGTGTATCGGGGGTATAAGGAGAGAAAGAAGACTTCGTCCTCATCTGACAAATGCACTGTTAATTGTTATCAAAGGCACAGCTGCAGCCAGATGTTTGATTTACTTTACTGCAGTGTGCAAAAAAAAGTCACTTCACCCAAAATAAGGCCAAAAGTGGGTTTTCCCAGGGTACCACAGGAAAGGGGGGAAATTAAGTTCTTCCAGGCAAACAATGCAGAATTACTCAGTCTTCCACAGCCAGGTCGGAGAAAACAGTGTTTTCTACTGAAGATCTTATTTTTTTTTATAGTGGCTGACAAACCCTTGTTGGGTGGAAATGGGCCAGGCTTTGACTGAATTCTACAAAATATTGAAGAAAAATTGGTTTGGGTGTTTAGTGTACCGAGTGATTGAATTCTACCATGGTGCAGATTACTTTATATTACTAGTTGCTGCAAAGCTGAGAATTTGGAATTGACCATCTGTTTAGTAGGCTTTTAGTTTATTGGGATGCAGAGTTGTGGCTGTGTTGGTCCCAGGATATTTGAGAGACAAGGTGGGTGAAGTAATATCTTTTATTGGACTAATACAAAAAAGTTTATTTGGACACAGACTATGGAGGCATGTAAATATTGGAGGCATTTTCAGTGCAACACTTCATAGCTTCTGGCTACAGAAACTCTCACTGTAAACATGCGTCTAACCCTGGAAAGTGAAATGCTTTACAGGGACTTTCCTATGGCATGGCTAAGCAATCCCTCTGGTAAGTTCTTTCTTGTAGGCTGACTTTTAGGGGGAAAAGGGTGTGTTAATTGGCATGTTAAAACTATAATTACCTTGTTTACATAGGGATTTTAGTGTATTAAAATCCTAATGTAGACAAAGATAGTGGTAGTACTAATGTGCTAGTTAACCCACCCTTTTTTTCCTGGTGTGGACATGGCCTTTGGTTAGTTTAAAATTGCCCTTGAATCCTCAGATTCCAGTTGACTTGCTTTTGGTGAAGCTGTAGGCATGTTTGTCTCCGTTCTTCCCTGGAAGTATATTGTATAATCTCTGGACTGAAATCATGAGCCCCACTCTTCACCACTGCCTACCATAACAGTTATGGCAACTTCCTTTTCGGCTGGGGCTCCCTCTCCCTTTGGAGACCATCAGTGGGGCGTAACATATCAAAAGGGCTGCTGTTGTGTCACAAGGATTCTTGTCTTCCTCCCCTCCAACTTTGATTTTGTCCTGCAAAGGCAGAATGTTTTATCACTTCCTGTCAGTCCTGGCAAGGAGAGATGAAGATCATTAACTGAACTCTTTTCTCTTCCATGGAAATGCATCATTTGGTTACCATGCTGGTTTCCAATATTAACCACCTTTCTACGGTGGGAAATTATTGTTGAAGCACAAATACTATTTTATGCCTTTAAAAAACAAAGATGCAAAGTCCTTGGGGGAGTAGCTATAAAGGGCCAATAAATATCTGAAATTTAACTGTATTTGCCAACTATCTTAAAAACAATAAAAAGCAAAACAAGAGAAAAAAACCCAGCCTCAACCAAACCAGTGTTAGGCCTCCAGCTGTTACTTGTCTCTAATGCAGGAGATGTTTTGTGGGCATGTGCTGGCCTTTCAGCTCTGCAGACCTTAGTCTCTGATCTCAGGTGAAAATGAGTAATATTTTCTTGGGTATGTGGGTGGAGAGGGTGCATTCAAGTCCAATGTGTGTGCACAGCACACAGTAATAAAAGTTGACACAATTGGTGAGTCTCTGCTCAGGAGAAGTCCAAGATTGTAATTCTGGGGACTGCTATAGGTGAGGGCTGAGGTGCGCTGGCAGAGCTGTATGAGGAAGCTTGCTCAGCATTTACCTGCACTATGCCTGGCTCAGTGTAGGCAGTCCTATCTGTGCCTCACTTCTGTGAGTACTAATATACCCAGGTAAATAAAAGGGAATAAAAGGTTTTCATCTGTGAACTACCATAGTGCCACCATGCAGTATCATAATTCTGCATCACAGCAAAGATTTTGTGTTAGTCTATGTGCAGAAACATGAATAACCATATAAGGCCTAACTTGCCGTGTGCTAGGCAGGCTGGCCTTAAGGTCCTGGGAAGCATGCCTGTTGCAAGTTCCGAAGTTTAATGCAACTAGAAGGCAGGCTCTCTGTTGCACACTGTAACTGTCTTTCTTTAACTATCCCATTTAACTGCTTTGTCATTGAAATTTCTTATGCCTTGCACAATTTATATCTTCAGATAGCTCTAGGGGGAAAGCGCTCCTATGTTAGATTTCTTTAATGAGCTAATAGGAGCTTTAATGACAGGAAGCACTGCACTGTTCTGTTGAAGGGTGCACACACTCTCTCTCTCTCTCTCTCTCTCTCCCTCCCTCTTAATTTAAAAAAAGGAATGTTCTGAATGAAACAAGGGACCCCTCTGAGAATATTCTGTTGGATTTTATAGCTGTGTTTGGGATGCTTCCTTCCAACTACTGTTTGGATCTTTGTCGGTGACAAAGATTGAATTGCCATTCTAATTCATACTGTCAGCCAGAAGTATTTCCCTAATAAAAATCCAGAGCGTGGGTGAGAAATTGTGGCCACCCAACATACATTTCCCAGTAGGGTGACCAGATGTCCCGATTTTATAGGGACAGCCTGATATTCAGGGCTTTTTCTTATATAGGCATCTATTACCCCCCATCCACTGTCCTGATTTTTTTTCACACTTGCTATCTGGTCACACTATTTCCAAATCCAGTTACTGGCTATTTGAAATGTTTATAGCTTGCAAAATAAATGACATTCTGGCTGCCCAGTGGTCAGAAACAGTGCTCCTGTCTCTGCTGTGTTTAAATGGAGAGTGCTCTGCTTGTTGTGTGGCAAATAATCCTACCTAGGCATTGACTCTTAGGAGCCTGTAGGAAGAGGCCTCTGAAGGGACCCAAACAGAGGCAAGAAATTGATATGTTTCTGTTGTTGGAAGAATTCTGAGTGAAGCCACCAATAGAAGGAGAAACAAAAGCGATCAATAGTATGAATGATGAAGTGGGTGTATTTCAAAAAGAGAGGATGGTATGATTATTTTGACTACTTATTTTTTCCATAGTAATCCCTCACAGGGAAAGAAAAGCATCTATTCCTACTGTCACTCGCACTCTTATTTGCAAAGTACCGTTTCTGTGGCGGAATATGTTGTGC